AGGAGCTGCTGGTACTTGGCCCCATGGAAAACCAAGGCAACTGCTTGTAGGGGCTTGAATGTGGATTTCAGAGTATAACTTTGGACAAATGGCTCTGAAAATTCTGATTTATGTCACAATACAAGATCTTCAATATTCTGGAATATAAACATTGTGACAGTATTGTTGCTTTTTGTATTGTGGTGGTACCTGGACACCCTAAACAAAGATTAGGTTCCCTTGTGGTAGCCACTGTACACAGAAAGCAGAAGCCATGTCCCAAAGAACTTTCAGTCAAGGATGCGGACAAGTGAATGTTGTTTAGACAACCCTTACTCCTATATTCCCTGAATTTTGTGTTTCAATATACAGCTTTATTGATGCAGTAATTATTTCTCTCAGTGCACTTACTCCAGTGGCCTGGTAAGTCAGATGAAGGGCTGCTTAAAAATCATTAACATCTATTGGACCAGATACTGATCCAAGTCACATCAGTGTAAACTGAGTCCAGTGAAATCAGAGGAGATATAACAGATCAAAATGAGTTTGAGGTCAGAACTGATTGACTTAAACTGTTACTCTAGATTTACACTTGCCTAAGTGGAATAATAATGTGGATATAAATCAGTAGCAACATCTTTTATCAGCATATGCAACACTATAATGTTAGGGAATGGTTTTCTATAATGCAATTTAAAGACTGCAAAACCAAATAAGCCCCCAATTCCCAGGGTGACTGCTTTTGGCATTCCTACCTCCTCTGCCAGGATGGTCTCTCTCTCAGTTTTCTCCAGCAACTCCTTCCTCTGAGAAATCTCTTTCACCAGATGGGTGGCTGTCCCTGTGGCATTTTGCAGCTTCCCCTGAAATATGGTAGCACAAAGGGGAGGAGGAAGAGGGCATCAGCTACTCTGTTACCAGGGAAGACAGAAGCCCTTTGCTCACTAAGCTGAGAATTTCATCATACTTTATCTCAGTCTGGATGGTCTAGAAACTGCTCCTCACTACCTGTTCACAGTAGAATACATTGATCAAGGTGACATCTCATCTCATTGTTGGTGACTCCCTCCTGAGGGGGACAGAGGGAGTGATCTGTCATCCCGACCCCTTAGCCCAGAAAGTCTGCTGCCTCCCGGGAGCCCGTATCCAGGATGTGGCTGAGAGGATCCCAAAATGTATTTGGCCCTCTGACCACTACCCTATGCTCCTTATCCATGTGGGCACAAATGACACAGCTCAGAGCTATCCCAGCTGGGTCATGAGTGGCTACAGGGTTCTGGGGGTTGGGGGCACAGGTGGTATTTCCTCAATCCTTCCAGTTATGGGTCACGGGCAGAGGAAGGAGAGATGAATCGAGGCAGTAAACAGAACACTGCACTGCTGGTGCCACTGTAAAGGCTTTGGCTTCTAAGACCACAGTCCACTTTTCAGAGAGAGAGGCAGTGGTCTGTTGGGAAGAGATGGCCTTCACCTCACTCCACTGGGGAAGAAGCTCTTTTCAGCCATAATGGCTGACTTGCTTGACCGGGGGACGGACAGACAACCACCAGAGCAAGCTCACCAAGCATCAACCGCAAAATCAGCAGGTTAGGATGCTCAAGGAAACCCATTTCTACCCCAGCCTAAGAACAGAGCTTCTCCATGAGTACAAGGAAGGCTACGGCCTCTAACGGCACACTTACTTGTCTGTACACTAATGCTAGGAGTTTGGGGAATAAACAGGAGGAACTGGTCCTTCTGCTAAAC